TCATAGTCAGCGTAGCTTGCCTTTTGAGAAGTCCAGCTGTCTTATTTGACAGCTGTTACGTTAAACATAGCCTTGACTCCCGCTGTATTTTGGATTGTGAGAACCATCCGGTCTCAAATCCATGTCGGAGGAGGTTCTGACGCTAGGTACTTTGCATGCTGGCAAATAACTAGTACACACGTCACACAGTCGGTCGCTTTTGCATATCTATATCTGTGGGTATGAACTGCTACTAAAGGCACCAGGTGGAATCAGACCACCGATCACTCGTTTGAGAAGCGAGCGCTTTACCACTATATATTAGCAATATAATCTAGTAATGCCTAATGAATTTTCCATGTGATTGGTATTTTTCTGTAAGAAAGCGACTTGTCGAAGGAAGTCGACAATTGGCTATCCATTTTCTCCCTACATATCTTTCAATTTCCATCCAACAATCAAAAATGGGCAACTGTCTTGTCCCAACCAAGGCGCCATTTGTCGACCCAACATGATTCGAAGTGGAAACGTTGCAACGAGGGCTTGGGCTCAAATAAAACACTACGGCCATTTTTCTTGACCAAAATCCAACAGCCACTTTTCTGCACTTGGTTAAGTCTGCGCATACGTGCAGCTTCCCTGAAAACTTTCCTCAGTAAGCGCACGTGCTAAACTTCAAAATATTATATTTCTGTGGCTCCTGGCATTAAATATGCGATTGAAATTATTCATCAGATGTCGGAAACAGAAAAAATGATATGAAATGCAATCTATCTCTTCAGCGGCAGAAACTAGACCTTTTTCACGATCTGAAATCACAAATTATGGGGGTGCTAGGAGGTTTGATAGTAACAAACGCAAAATTAACGACCAGTTGTCTAGATTTTTGATAGATACGATTGCCACGCCAACAATATAAATCTCCTTATTTCCATTGCAACAGCAAGCCACCAAAAATGTCCCATCCCCACGTGATGCATAATGTTAATATGTTTGATAGCCTTATCTGTATACTACTTTATTCGCACAAAGATGTTGTTTGCAGTTTACATATCGCTTTGTGTCCATTGACTTCTAAAACCTCACTGTATGATGGAAGCACTGCGTATTGTTGCAAACCATCACCACAGAACTCGTACTTCAATAACTTGCAGGCATTGATGCAATTCTTATAAGTTGTAGAATAACTCATTCTTCCACCACATTATGTAGTATAATATGTGTATCATCTCGTCCACGCTCCTAGAAAAATGCCCTTACACTATCATTATTTTGCCGTCCATATACTTTCTTGGCTATATAGGCTCCAATAAGACACGAATGAGGAATAAATTTGGAAGACCTCTTAGATCGTGATGTAAATGAAAATTGCACCACAAAAGAACAGCCCTAAAATTGAGCGATCAGCCTTGTATCCACGTGTACCGCTGACCATAGATAGTTCAATACTGCTTGAATGATATTTTCTTTACTATTGTATGCTTGCCTGCAAAAATTGGACTCCATACTAGTTTCATCTTGATCTTCAATGTCTGTGTTAGCTGCCGACATGCTGCTTTTAAAAGTTGGAAAATGGAACAATGATAACCATTGTATTCATATACCGCAAATCAGCTGTTGCGTTTTCTACACGCTTCTACACTGGACCATCTATGAGAATGTCCTCCATCTCCACATTGTAATTGAATCTATTGGCTCAGATTGTTAAAACTTATTGTGTTATATTGTATGTTAACTTCAACCAAATTGACTTATAATACTGAAATTTACCGAAGATTTCGTGATGGAGTATTCCTTTTTTTAATTTGAAATTGGAGCCCCTATAGTTGAAGTTTAGAAATGAAGTATTTTTTATATCCCTTATAATATTATACGCTGCGAAAACAGCTACAAAAGTTTCTCTCGGTTGCTAAATGTATGGAATACCGTGTATTATCACAACTAAGCGATATTTTATGGATGCAGCAGATAAATTTACCGTGCATAGATGCTTGGATCGTACGAATCCGTATAACGAACTCACCAAAAATAGGTTCCCAAGCTCCGTCCAAGTGCGGAGCCGAGAGCTCCTAAGGAAATTAAATAAAATGTATTGCTTATATGCCTGTTTACACTGAAACTATTGAAGTTAAGGCCTACGTAGTGAGTATTCAACTCAGCCGAACCATTATTTGTCACGATATTTAATATACTCCCAAAATCTGGTATTTATAATTTTGACTCTGAGTGTACGTACATCGTATAGTGGTATACAGTACGTACCCAAGCTTATGGACAACCTCATCAACACATGTGTGGGAACCACGTACATTTGTGTGAGGTTAAGATCAACTATATATCTTGCATAGCTGTATATCCCTTTATCCTGTTAAATCAGAATTGGATTCAGTTTAGGAAAGGTTTAAAGCTTATTGGCAATGATACTTGTCACTTCACCATTCCCCCCTCGTTAGCGTAAATTGACGGCTCGCTGGAAGCGTGTTAACCGATTTAAGTCTTCCTCAGTAAGTACGTATATACGGACGAGTAATTTACGTATCATCATTGTTTCTCCCGCAGCAGTAAGTCTATCCTCTTTCCACTTCGGGGATCTGGCTCGATGTGCACATTTGAAGAGGAAGTGAGAGTGAGCTTTGGGAACGTTTAAGTCTCGAGGGAACTTTGATCGGAGAAGACCAAAGAAGACGTAAAGCCCTTATAGAAAACAGTGGGAAATCCCCGTTTGAAAACACCATGTCTTCCTCATCCAATAAAATCTTAATTTCTTGGCCACAGTTGCCGTATCCCTCCCAGCAGCTCCGCGTGTTATGTGGTCATAGAGCTCGCGCTGAAGTGTATTCATTGCAAGCCGTAGCATAAGGATCCTCGACGATAATAATTTGGCGGGGATAGTTCGTGATCTTATCAATATTGGTATTGAGGTGAGGGGTTTATGGGGTCCCTGTAACGGGAAACCTCATCATGAAGCATGCTCACATTACACTGTTGTTCTTCAGACTTATAGTGATTGCCGGATGCACCATGGTGAATTGCCATGTAAAGATTCACGATATAGAACCATGATAGATACTTAATACGGATATGTTTCTAAAAAGGAGGGGACGTGGTATGCTAGCCTCACGCGATACGCTATGTAAACTTGATTATGTTGAATGGTAAAACATACATTTAGTATCATTTTTAGTTATCTAAAACAGAAAAAGTCAATTCTGAGCAAGTGCAAATACTAGCTACTTGATATTTGGGATTTAAAGATGTTCGGTGAACCCATCATGTGACAGGAAAGGCTTGACTGGACCTCAGCAAATCCCACTTTTTATCCGCTCTCACGATCTTTCACGGATTTGTACAGCGAAATTACTCTTATTGAGTGCCAAAGTTTGTGGCCAATGTTTTTCGATGCGAGGGATTGAGATGATCATTGTAACGGGGTACATTCTTATTGTGGTGTACATGGAACAGGTGACCTGCACTATACAGTGCTTGATATGATGTATAGTAACTAAACATTTGAAAACATGTTGAGGTTGATATATATCAATCCTAAATCAGAACAAGTGAAGGACTTCGTCACATGAGATACTCTTGGCTTGGTATCTGACTGGTGCCGAACGCATCTTCCGTTTATGGGCAGCCCGTCTTTTCATTATTGCGCGATCATTAGTTGCAGCACCGTGGCATTTCACATATGTGGCAATTCCAAACGCTAACGCTCTGTATATGATTTTTCTTTCACGGTCTGAAAGTGCGATAGCAAGCGGGGTCGACCAACGATCCTCTTGCGGCTGATAAAACCTTGGCGGGAAACTTCGAGGCCTGGCCTTTCAACTAAAGGAAGGCTGGGATTAATTGTGTATCGTGGGGTCAAGACCATCAGGGGTCACAGGGGTCAGCTCTAAGAAGCATCACTTTCTGATAGGAGGAGATTATAGCTCGGCGTTGTTGGTTGGCAGAAACAACGCTTGCAGGTTCGTGACACCGCGATAAATCTTGATAGATTGGGGGCTTCGCGTGACTACGTATAAAGCACACCTGTCATAAACTCTAGTTAATACCTGAAGATGATAAATATACTGAACTCAGGTGCCATTTGCGCTGTGCGGCGGATATGCTTACTAAATAATTATTTGAGGTTTTCTGAAAGCTCGAGCTCGTTGCCAGAGTGATTTTTGTTTGGTTTTATTCCTAGACTTGTGAGAAGATCTCAGATCCAGCTGGATTGCCATCACTGACGAATCGACTTGAATTTGAGAGCGTAAGGTATCACGCACCTTTTTTATTCGCAGAAATTGGGTAAGTCATGAGCTCATATCTAATTATGCAGAAGCGCATCTGGCGCGTATTTACATTTGAGATGACACTTGTTGCAGTGAGACACAGCATGAAACTGCAATAGGTATGGTACAAACATGAAAGTATTCAACAAAAATAGCAACAATACTGCTGAATAACCTAAGCAAAGCTTGGAAGATGGAAGCGGCTGTAAGCCGCGATATTGTGATTATTTCTATGGTCAGACTGAAGGTTGCATTTTCGGTTGCTTGTATCTTTGTGACGACAACAGTTGGAACTGTAGGCCGAGGTTTGCAGGGATTACGTTGGATCCGGCAGATCGTCTGCAAACTAGAAATAGGTAGCTGTCGTTTGCGAGTGGAAAACACCTGCCATTGTAGACTAGCCATAATCACGATGTAAAGATATCTCTGAAGAAGCAACACCATGGAACGCGCTTAACGTTTGAGCAATGGAGCTGCACCAATTTATACCGAGCAGGTTCAACCACACATGAGTGCAATGAGCAAGAAATACTTAGGAATTTGAGTCTCCCCTTACTACACCCAGTGACTGGTTCCGTATGGTCTTAAACTGGTAATTGATTTTTGACAAGTAGTCGCAAGATTATGAGGTAACCGAGACGATGACTGCTACTCTTAAAAATCCCACATACCCTTACATTCTGTATGGAAGGGATTTTCCGTGGTAGTACGGGAGGCCCGCCACTCATGTTTTGGTGTCAAGCGTATTCTATCTTACAACTCGCTTCGTGAGAAGCACGAAACGAAGCGAAACCTTAACTGTCCCCATGATGAGGGCCATTGACGTAATACACAATTGTTGACCTCAATGACAAGATCAAGACATGATGCACTCCTCAATCAAAATAACTTTTCGTGTCAGAACGGCAAACGGCATGAGGCAAATTGTATATGTTGATAATAAGCTGAATGTAGCCACTGTTCCGGTGCAAGCACTAATTTATGAGAAAGGCTTATCGCAGAGCAACATGGTCGATTGCCCCTTCTACAGTGAGTAATCTAGGCTGAGTACGATTATTATAAATGCTCAAGTCTCTTCTCCAACTGCAGTTCACACTCGGATCAAGATACCCTATGAGTGGTGGCTTATGCCCGAGGGGCTCTATCGCACCAGCAAAGTTCAGCTTCTGGTGATCCCCACATCTGCATGCACACGGATGCATATCCACATTCAACTTGTTCATGATCTGACAGAGCACGGTAAGTCAGGTTTAGACATCCGTATTGAGCATTCAAGTGTATGGATTTAAACAAGCTGCTCGCAGACACCACAAGCGTACCTATAACGCCGCCAAAAGCCATTTTATGGAATGCTTAAAAAAATAATGGCATGTGAGCAAAAGCGCGGAGAGATCAAGGTCATTAGTGACAGAACAGTGCGTATTTTCTGAAGGTACTTTAGAAAGTGGCTTGGCCTCTCATACTAGCTCACTAGCAAGTTACGAATTTTACGGAAATGACATGGTTTTTCATCAATCTCTTCAAAACCATGTAGAATATCGCTGGGACACGGCCATTGAGATGGCATTTAAGGTTGTGTAAGAAAGCTTCGAGTGTGAGTGCCCGGGATTCGTCCTTCCCAAAATCTAGTCAGCCATACCATTTCGTCTTTGATGTTCAACCTTTGCCATCTACTGTGCTTTACTACGCAGATGACGATGAGAACAAACGCCTGGTTGGGTTTAAAATCTCGCCATTAACAAGCGCTGAAGAAGCAAGATTGAGAATGAAAAATTTGCTTTCAAAATATCCATTCAAGCTCAGGATACACCAGCATGACTTGAAGCCATGTCTAACTACAAGACTTAAGAATCGTCACACACAGCGGCATCGTCACCACATCTTTATAAAATGGTTATCTGTCTTGCCCGGGGCATGTCAAAGTTAAAGTCGACTTGATGTGGCGGTTGATGCGCCTTTGCGTCACCCAGATTATGAACTATCGAAACGATGATGGTGATTTCACTCTTCGACGATGTGGAACGTACGGTATACGAGTCGACTCAGAAATATTTGGCACTAAGACTTGAGTAAAAAATTGTTTTTCGAATGTCGTCCTGTCAATCTGAGCGTTTACACCGCTAATCCTTGTCACAAGTCTTACAGTGTTTCGCGCTTACCCACTCGATTCGCAGCGTGAAGTGGTACCTCATGACGAAACGTTCAGGTACAGAATGCTGAATGAGGAACCTGATGTCCATTCGTGGCCACATCGGTAAAGAAATGACGTACATA